GAAAGTTAACTGTTCATTACTCTGGCTGAAATATCTGCCTGTTTATAGTAAGGCCTAAGCGATAACAACATTTCTGACATTTTTCTCCTAAACACTGTTAATCCTGGGGAAAGCTAAGCTTTTATTTTACAGAGGAGGCGCAATTCAAGATATTTGGCCTGATATTCTGTTGACTTGCAGAATAATATTGACCTTGTAAGTAGTGCGAGGAGAAAATCTAGTCATCTGCTTGCTTGCATTTGCGTCATAACTGCGAAAAGCATCTTCCTCAACGCATGCGAAGTCCCGTGTTACGACGAACTTATCAGGCACGGTTGATTTATTGCAACAAAGAATAGAACCCATTGAGGTAACTTAAGCATTTCAGTAAGTAATTTAAGTATATATCATGGTTCTATACCCACTAAAGTCCAGCGATAACAAAATTTTGTTAGAGATAAATAGAAAGATTGTTCTTTTATTTTCAGTCCTTTTGTTAACCTGCCGAATTTCCGTGCTGATAATTAAATATCCCTCAACATAAAACTACACCTGAACCTTGCATAGGCCAGGTCAGTGTTAGTTTCTGGTATAGTAATAGTTGTATCAACGAGAACTGAAGAATGAAAGTTATATTGCATACAACAACGTTAGCTTCGACCTATAATGAAGGTTAAATGGAAGGCCAACTTAAGAATGATCTACGCTCATCCAGGGAGGGACATGTAACATCGGTAGATGTAGAGACTACAAACAGGAAGATTCCGGTGTTAGACAACTGGTTCAGCATAAATTATTTACTTAAGTCCGCGATATTTATATTTGGGGGTCGAAATATTCAAACTTTTGTTGAAAGATGAGCATGCAACCTAGAGGAACAAGTTGAGGTTGATTTGCATTTGAAGAAAAATATTCCCTCCTGCGATAAGGTAACCAGTTGAGTGAAGTACAAATATAACTAGCAAAAGTTGTAAAAGATGTGAGCATTACAAATCAACAATGCCTTGCTCATGTTAAAGCATCAAAGAGATGTTCACAGAAACCTCAACATATGCATTGAGCCGTGAAAATTTTGCGATCATTATGGTTGAGAAAATGTATCCTCCATTTCCCGTTACGACTGCAAAAGTAGACTGTAAATATAATTTTCTGTCTAAAAAAGCAAAGTAACGAAAATTCTGAATCTTGCCATTCCGGGCAAGGCACCACGTTACTGTGCATCTGGCGTGGCTTAAGTACATTTTCGAAGTGTGTATAATAAACTTGAAAATGAGTTTGAACTGTCACAGTAAAACCAGCAGTGCACTCGGCATCCTGCCATGTGATGGAAACCTTAAGTTAAAGTCTGTCATTCTCTCTCAGTAATTTCATTATATATCGTTTACAAATGCTCTAATCTTAAATTCGGAATGAATTTATGATCAAGAATAAGAATATGACGTTTCCCCATGGTTGGAATTAATCGTTACTATTGGCAATAGTGGCAATTTACAATAGTATTACTATTGGCACCGATTTGACTGGT